GAGCGGGGGGCCGTCTTCCCGCCAGGAGCCATGCCAGAGCACTTTCCTGCGGGCTGCGCCAGGGACTTCACAGAGGAACTGAGGGACTTCGACCCACTGGCGGAGAGGCCCCGGTTTTTATTCCCATTCACTTGCATCTTGGGGTTAGCCGTGGGTTTTGCCTGGCTGTTTTTAGCGGGCGCTGAGGCGGTGAAGGGTGGTGGCAAACCCACCCCCGAGGCGATAGGGGGGACCCCCAGCCTGGGGACAGAGCGCCCTGCCCGGCTGTTGCTGGCGCTCCCGTTCTCCCTCGTCATGCTCGCTTTGGATCCGACCGACGTCAGGCTATCACACCTCTCCAGGGACATGTGGCTCCCGTAACGGTGCACAGCTTCGCTCTTCGATGCCTTCGCCTTTAAGCTGGATGTCATCTTGGGCAAAGAGTGGTCACCCTTCAGATTCATTTTACTGCTGGCACTTTCACTGAAGTACGATCCAGCTTTGAACCGCAAATCTGCTTCGTCTTCAGCCTTTGGTGTGGCAGGGCTGGCGAAAAAACTCCAGGCCGGAGGCTTTTCCCCCACCATTACCCAGACCAACAGGTTTCTGCTCCAGGCTCGACTTGCGTACAGGAGGTGTTGGAGGTGTTGGCCCACCTGGCCTGGGCAACATGGTCGACTTCTGTGGTGTGCTCTTCTTCCCCAGTGATGACTTCAAGCTGCCAGTGGCCAACGGAGCATCGGAATTCCCTCGAGTCACAGCCTCCGACAAAGTACTGTTAGCGTGTGACACTGGCATCACTCCCAGCGTGGTGGCTCCTCTCTTCAGCTGTGGCATCTTCATCGCAACTTCTGACTTCTTTGCAGCTCCGCTGGAGGATTTGCAGGCCATTTCGCAGCCATCCACAACCCTCTGCGAACAGGCAAGCATAGTCTGTGACTTCGTTGGCCTGGACGCTGCGTCAAAATACTGGGCAGCTTTTCCTGGCTGCTTCTCAGTACCAAATGTGTGAGATTTTGGAGACAGCAGTGAGTCTGCAGGCTTTGCTTCCAACTGGTAATCGGTGCGCAACAGCCAGGGATCTTCAAATATACCATGTGGATTCTGCAGCTCTTTATAGCTGAGGACAGTATTATTGTGGATTGGAGATGAGGTAGTTTTTGTTTTCCTAGGAAGACTAGAATGTATTGTTTCTATCACAGGCGTATCGCGAGAATTACTAAATTTTATTTTTACAGGCTGATCAGTGACACAAAAAGCACTTTTTATCTGAGAGGCTTTGGTAGTTTCAGAGGTTTGAGGGCTTTTGCTGATGCCTGAGGACAGCTTGCTAGAACTCATGCTCTCACTCTCCAGTTCAGAGAAGCAAAACCCACTGTCGTTCAGAGCGCTTTTTAGGGGGACAGATAAATGGGACGAATCCAAGTTGAAGGGTTCCTCGGACTTATTACAGCTGTAAGATGACTGTGCGACAAAACTGTCACTAGACTGGGCTCCATCACTTTCGATTGTACAGATGCTGACTTCACTGAGCCACGAACTGATGGAGGAACGTCTGCTACTCGTAAAGGGATCCTTAGCAAAGGGCACAACAATATCAATATTTACACCGGTGGAAGCCTCCTGTGAGGTATAAGCATCAAACTCATCATTTATGCTGCTGATAATACTGACCGGCCTTGACCCTGATGCAAGGGCCTGAAGGGAGCAGTCACTGTTAAAGCTAATGATACTGGAAGGTCTTCCATTATCCATAATCCCGCTAATCGATAGTTCTTCTACCACAGTGAAAACAAGCTCATCCTCTCCATTCAGTTCAACAGGCTGCTGCAAAGTTACCGTGGTGGTTAGTATATCCCGATCAAAACACTTCCCTCTGAACGCTGACCTGAAGCTGTGTACCTCTATCGCGCCTGACTGACTCTGGGCATTGCTACCAACCAGGAACGTGCTTCCTACAGCGTTTTGATCAGGTTTGTTTCCCATCTGCTTGCTCATTCCCACAGGAGGAGTCCTAACTCCATTGCTATCGTCCAGCTCCAAATTCTCAGCTTTGGAGCTCAGTACATGCTCTTTCTGCTGTGGAGGTGGAGGTGCTGGGCTTGGCAAGGACCTCTTCACGTACAAGGACCTTTCCTTAATGACACATTCAGCTGTGGCCTTATTCTGCTCCAGATGCCTTGTAGGGCTACACCTTGAGGACTGTAGGGAATCGGTGATTGTCTCTCTCTCTCCCTCCAGTACTGAGTCTATCATTTTGTTGTCGGCTCTGCTCTGTGGCTTGGACAGCTCTGTTTTCAAGTGAGATGTGCTCTTTTCATTACAATTGCCATTGCCACACCTTGGTGCAACAGCCTGGAAAGGAAGGTTATGTCCTTTTTTGGGAGATGCAGTTTCTTGTGGAACTGGTTTCTTAAATCCTCCAGAAGGAGAAGATATTTTTTCCTTTATCAGCCTAGACTGTGCATTTTCTGTACCTCCAGGGACTGGACTACAATTGGACACAACAGAGATTTCTCCACAAGCAAATTTGATGGGTTCCTCACTTCCGTCAATGCACTCTAACCTTTCTTGCAGTTCAGCAAAAGTGTTGCATTTAAAATGGTCCTTGTCAGAACTCCTACCAATAGCAGAATTGTCTTTACTTCTCTTCTTGTTTAAGGATGGGATTATAGGAACAAACTCTGGAGGACCTTCATTATCTGTCAATTCCCGGTCAGACAAAGCGGCACCATTGGGACCAACGTAGATGACGGTATCACAAGACTGTTCACTGCTGGAGGAATAATCGGGATCACTAGATATGCTCAGGACAGGAAGGTCAGGGTCAAGGGCAACAGTTCGTGGGTGGAATGGTCGCAAATGGGGCGGTCTTCGGACATGTCCTTCTTCACATGAACTCTCTCCTCCAGATGAGCTGGATGCATACTGCAAATCGTCAGTAAGGGAAAAGTTATTAATATTAATGGATATAGAAGTATATATGTATGTACAGAGAATTTACTAAACGGTTAGGTTTGCTATATACTCTGTGTAAATTCAAATAACAAGGTCGTGCTACATGGATTTTACTGTATTAGGAGTAATATGACAATCACACATTTTCAGACAATTTCCATTAAATATTATGCATTGTCGTTCTCTTCAACAGTTTTCTGTTCCTTCCTTATGGGTTTTTAATTAATACAAACAGGAGCTTTTGAGATAGTTCCACATATAAGCAAAGAAAGAATACGTGTTTGGAACAAAAAGAAGGGAATTTCAGGATTAAGGATTGGGGGTGGGATGATGGCTCAGTGCCAAGTCATTTGTCAGTTCCTCTCCTGAGCTTTTATGCATTTTGTATTACTTCTTACTGCCGAGAAATCCCATGTTCCCCCACCGAGAGGTTAGGAAAACTCATTTTCAAGTGAATTAATTTCTGCTTGTTTGTGAACCAACCTTGGATTTCTTCTTCCTCATTCGGTGGATTCGTGATGCAAGCTGAATGGTGGTGAGAGTTTCTGCATAATTGGCTGGGGAGTCAGAAATATGCGCAATCATAGTAGTTCTGCAGTTGATGTTCCCAAGTGATTCCCTCAACAACATTGTCAACTTGTTGTCCCTGCGTCACAAATGAAAACACTAGGATGGCTTAAAGAAATCACAATCTTCTTTTTGCAGATTTTTACACCACAAGCTGTGCTTTCACTCTCATAGGATATATGCATGTACAGTACATGTAGGTAAGAAATATGCTCCTATTACTTGACTGCACTTAAAATGTGTCTACATGTACACACACAAAGATACCAATATTTTAATTATTTATCTGCCTGGGTATTTGCAGTATGATAAGTCATGTTACTTGTTACTCAGACAATTGTAAAACAATCGATTGATAACTAGTTTAGTTATCCACGTTTAGCTCATATTACCTAAAAACCTCATGAGTACTGTATTCATGGCTGAGCAGACTCAGTACCTGGATAGCTAAGCTCTGTGCAAACAATTTTGATAATAAGAAAAAAATAAGTCAACAGAAATGGTAAGAAATCTCTAAATAAATATAACAATGTTAGATACCAGATACACATTATCAATGCCACTCCAACTAATCTAGTTTCCACTCTGCCTGCTGTGCTCTGCTCTGACATAGCAAATGGGAAGCAGAATTTCTCTCTGAAGGCTTTCCTGGTGACACGAGTCCTCTGCCATGGACAGCAAAGCTGACAAGACAGGTGACATTTTGCTCTCCACTGGTCTCCAAGACATCTCTCCCCAGGGCTCCCTGGAGGCTGTCTCCTATCACCCTCCTGAGCTGGCCCAACATGTGGGAACTACCGTGATGTCTGCTTACTAAACCATGGTAGGTGACAAAGTTGAGAATCTGCCCTTCCCTGTTCTAACCCATCCATCCTCTACTCCATCCACAAACCTAGCAACTAGCCTGAGGAAATTACCTTTCTGCCTAATGCAGAAAGAAAGAACACCTGTTTGAGATGCAGCACTAGATAAATACGTGAAATGACATGATTGATAACAACAGCACAAAGTTACGACGCATGAAGACAAGCAGCAATTAAATTTAAGGACTGAAGGCCAAGTTCTGGTAAAGGTGTTTACAATGTGGCTGTTGTCTTTAGTCTGGGCTCCCCACAGGTGTGTTTGACATAATATTATTGTCAAGTACACTCCACAAAGGAACACACTTAAATGTTTGCTTCTGCTAAACAAACGCGCAACATGGTGGTGGTCTTTTTTTTAATTGAAAAGATGTGTCATTCAAAAAGGCATACAGAAATAACAACCTCTGATGACCACACTTGATAAACTCTCTAGTATTTTCTGAAATTTCAATACAATTTTTAAATTTGAAAAAAAGGAGAGAAAATCCTATGAAATTTTGATGAAATTGTTCACTAATGTCCAGCTGGCTGAGATCGGTCTAAATTCCAAACCCAGGAAATAAGAGAGGAGATAGGAGGAAAGAAAACATTTTGGCCGTTTTCCCCTGCTTTTTTCAACAATCAAACCCTCCCCAGCATTTCACCCAACTTAAGTATATATCAATATTCACATAATTTTTGGCCATGTAATTAAGAATCTCATGTTACTATATGACATTGTAAAAGTTGTGTGTATGTACATACACATATAGACAGGCAGATGAATAGATATATGTGTATCTGTAATACAGAAGTAACGTTAAAAGACGACAGACCTCTCTCTGACAGAACTTCCTTTAACTTCGTCTTAGGTAAAGAGTAAATTGTCGATGCAATTCATTGCTAAGTTAAGACCAGTCACAAATTTCAGATAACACAGATAATAATTCACTTACTTATATGGCACATGCTTAGCACCGTTAATTAAGGCCAAAATTACATTGCCCAGGGCAGAGAGAGACAGACAGAGAGAGCCTCCCCCATCTCGGCTCTTGCTTAGCACTTTTTCACAGCTTCCTAGATCAATGAGATGCAAACGGCTGCGTCCTCCAGACACTAAAACAAAAAGGGGAAAAACAGTTGTACATCACGTTCTTGCATGGACTTGAGCCAAACTTGGTATTCAAAATGTATTCAAATGAGGAAAATAATGAATACAGCATGGGATAATGCCCGAATTAAATATTAATAGTACGGAAACCAGATATTAGCCACTGCTACCAATATTAAAGGTGACTTGACTGGCTTGAGGGTTCACTTCATTTTTTCTTTTTAAGTTTATTGCAAATTATTGTTTAAACTAACCCAAAACCACGTGATTTAAAAATAAACAATATGGTAAGAAGACTCATACTTCCTCCTTTGCCACTCTTCTCCATGCGATACTGGTATATGTGAAGAGTAAAGAGCATATGTGAATTCCTCCTATCTTCTTCCTCGCATTCAGGTTTGCTGGTACTTCTGGCAGCAATTGCAGCATCAAGGAAAAAGGCAGCTTTCTCTGCTGACGGGGCCCTTAGCTCACTTTGGTTTTGAAGCTTGAATATAAACAAGAAAATGACTAATTAGCACAGGGGCATTTTTTTTTAATATTTTTTGCTGAACTGGCTAAATCTCTAGGGCACTAAAAGAAACAAATATGTACACCACAGGAGAAGGGCTTATAAATTAAAAGCAATAAATTTTTTTTTACTGTCTTAAAAGTTGTCATAATTGTTGTCAGATAAAAGGAAATAAAAAGCAGAAGAAAGTCAGGCTCAGATAAATCTATGTTGTGATATCCGTTATACCTGAGTTCCACATATTGGATCTTCTCTCAGATAAACCCCAGGAGACTGGCCATCCTGAAGGCTGCCAGTGGCTACTTCAGCTAACAAATCCTTAAGGTTTTCATCTTTGCCACTGATCTCTACAGCAGACACTCTAATAGAGAAACGAGTCCCAGTTTTTTCTTTACGTTCATTGATTAATTTGAAGAGCCAAGAAATTGCACAGGGGATGATACCAAGGCTTTGCGTGGAGTTATCTTTCCCAATCATGGTAAAAGATTTCCCTAGAATGAAAAGACAAACATGAACTTAGGTCAATTTTTGTGTACAAGACAGCATCTCTTTGTATCACCACTGCACATTACATGCAATGTCATATGCTGCACAGAAAACAGAAGAGATGCAAAAATGCCAAGTATTTAATTATTAATCCATTACTATTTATTCAATTAGTTTTGCAATTTCTGTAACTCAGACTCACAGCAAATTAACGTTAAAAACATCCCTGAGCTTTTGATTTTCATCACAATGCACCTATATAAACTTGCTTTTGATTAAGCTAACCTGATGTTACGTTTTACCTTTTCAAATTAAAACTTACAATCCCAGTGTAGAAATAAACTATGATAAGTTTGCAAAGCTAATTAAAAAGAAATTCTAATCTATTCATATACTCCAGGAGCTGACAGCATGTAATTACCAGACTGACATAGTAATTAACTGTAACGAATTTGGGAGCTCACCAAGCTTGACATGACCAAAGCAAAATATGCAACCATCTGCACCATTCACAACAGACTGGATTACTTCTGCTACTGTTCCAGAGCATACCTCAGCCTGAAAGAAAGATTGGAGACAAATAAGTAAAAGAGCTTATAGTACTATGTTTTTTACTATTCTTCCATAAAGAAACAAATGACTCAATATTTTTGAGGTGCAATATTCTCCCCAATTTTATGGCATCGGTCCTATTATTTTAGTAACTGTGCTATCTTAAAAAATAATAAAATATGCTACTACAGCCTAAAATAGTTCTCAATTCTATTACACCAATTCTCTTGGAATATTGATTCTATGACTAATGTAGCAGACTGAATGCTATCCAACCAGGCTTCCTGCTGGTATAATAGCTTAGCCAAGGCTATTCAGCAATAGTAGCAACCCCACTGAAATTAAGCTACTCAAGAGTGCTCACAGGAATTAAAACAACATTTATACTGGAGAAAATGCATTAAGATCCCTGAATAAGATTTCATAGTATCACATTTTCCTCTTCCCGGGGAAACATCATCATCAATAAAGAGAACTTGCTAAAATAGTTGAGTGTACTAAAACCAGTTTATCCACATCAGTGAAGGTTTCAAATATATAATAAGATGATCTGTTAAGTACAGCAACTGGGGGCAGGAGAGAGGGTTGGTGTAAACATGTTAACTACAGTGAAATGATAAGGCTCCCTTTGCAGGTGCATGGCAGCAAGCTTGCCTCGAGCAACGACGCCTGCACAGAAGTGGCTGCGCTGGCCAACGTCACCCAGAAACACCACAAACAGGCCACCCAACACGCCCACCACGAGGACCTGAGAGAGCCTAGCCCAAACCAGGGGTCAACAGCCTGAAGCGTTGGTGCCAAAACCAGCAGAGAAGCAGGCTGTGACTGGCCACCTTGCAGCAAGGCTGGCAATACGAGTAAGAAAAGCCAAGTTCCAGTTCAGGACTAACGTTGAGATCACTGTTGCATGTTTCTGCACAAAGATGCCATTTGAGCTGATGCAGAATCTTAAAACCAGCCTCCTGGCGCGGCTTCCCTTGCTTTGGGCGCTGATCTGTGTGGGAGGTTATTCTCCAACTTCAGTGCTTGGCTAGAACTTAGACCTAATACGTACTTTCATATGTCTAGTTTGGGATCCAAAAAAAAATTAAACAAAATCCTAGAAGATATGAGAGTGGGATTCTGAACTAGATCTTGTCATGTTTTCTCAACGTTAATATACCATTTTCACCTTGGATGTTTTGTGGTTTACTTTTCTTTCATCAAAGTTTTTTCAGGCAGTTCAAACTTGAAGAAGCTCTTCATACTCTGCTTAATTTTCTTCCTCTTTTTAAAGTTGCCCTAGGATTTTTTTTCTGAACCTGATATATTTCCCAGAAGAAAATTTCAGGCATCCATTCTCACCAAATATACTGCAGCCCACAATCCTCTCAAATACCAGCTGTCCTATTTGTGTATCAGATTTCAGGTCTGGGGCTACTACTGTACAAATACACTCTTTTGCAGGGCAAGAGAAAGGCATGCACCATCAGCACCACCATGAAGATAAAATAACCAGTCAAAAGCACAGTGTAAACAAACTGGAAAAGGCAAAGAAAATATAAAAGCTCCCTAATTGTTTCAGTATAGCAATCCCATGGGGTTAGCTGTATCTCTTCTCCTAACAACAGCATTTAGTTTAACGTTAAGCACATGTTTATTTCCCATTGAAAGCAGTGGGGAAGGCCTTTATTTCAGTGACATCAAACGGGTTAAAACCTAACTGGATGGGAAAGCGAATTTTGAATTGGCTGTGTGTCTCTCTCTAACAAGAGAAAAGGCACGAAGATAATTTAGTCGGCAAACCCATCTCCCCAGCTATTACTCCTTAATTTTACATCTCGACTAAACTGAAAATGCAAGAATTTACCCACTTGTCTATTAATTATCACATTTTTCCAGGCATTAAGGCAACTCATTCAAATAAAATTCCCCAGAAACAGGAAGAACACTTAAGGCAATCAAATGCAAAAGCCATAAGAAGTCTCAGGAGGTTTATGTGAGTGACTCCAGTACCTGCGAAGCATCCTGGGGAAAAACCGCATCAAAGGCAAACATCTTTGGGACAGCGACAACGCCTCTCCTGTGACCTGCATTGGAAGGTCCACTTGCTGCTGGATCATAAAATGTGATTTGCTTTTTTCGTGGGTCTACCTTTAGGAAGGACATGGATTCAGATGTTTCATGTGCTCCTTGAGAGGGACAAATCCTTACCATCACTTTCACCTGCAAGAATTCAGAAGGAAGTGACAAATTTAGTTTCCAGCTACAGATAAATGCATGCAAAGCATTCCTTCCAAACCCACTCCCCCTCCCATGACACGTTCATTTGTAATATTTAGGTGTGTCAGAACAACCGTGGGACAAAACCAGAGCCAGATTTTCCAGCCTGGTTTCCACCCTGGGGTCTTCAGTGAACTAGCTTTTAAAGGTGTACTTTGTCCCTTCAGTTGACTCTGTTCCAGTTTTAGCATTTCAATTTATAAATGTCTGATCTGCAGGTATAATCCACTGTAGGTGTAATACCACACCTAAGGAAAAGGAAACTCTCATCTCCTACCTTTCAAGTACTCAATGCGACCGAAAGCACAAACCAATCCACTCCAAAAATCAGTCTGAACAATCAAGGCTCAAACAGCCAGTGCATTTGAACTGAAATAAATCTAGAAACTTTCCATTCCTGGTTCACATTCTTTTAATAAAAAGGTGCTTCTCTTACAGCCTTCTCAAGGAGATACCTCTATGCTGTCATTGCTAGGCTCTTCGACGGTTAGTTGCAGATTTAATGGAAGTCTCAAAGAAGGGAAGAAAAAAAAGCATTAAAAGGTCAAAAAGCTTGAAAAGAAATCGCTCACAAAGTACATTTCTATTGCAGCATTGCAAATGCCAATTTCCTACACATGGCATTTTAAGACAGCATTTTTAGAGAGCTCAGACATGTTGGCTGTGATTTCCAAAGCAGTTTAAAGGAGCCAATTGACTGGGTCTCACTAAAGTTCAGCAAAGGCTGCACACCTGCTTCTTTTAAGCTTCCTGGAAATCAGGCTCTTACTTTGAAAAACTGTGAAATACTGCCTCACACCCAGTTACGACCATTTATCCTTATGAAATGCTCCCAGGTCACAACCAGCACATTTTATACACCTCGCACTGAAGTAGATGACTGTTATGGGCACAGTGAATCACTTTGCCAATCTTCAATTCCACTCTGCCCAGCAGATCAAACTTGAGAGAAAAGCAATGCTCAGGCAGCGTGACTTTCCATGGTCAATACAAAAATCTTTCAATAACAAGCTGAACAACAGTGTTATCTCCTTATCCAACTACCAGACAACTTTCACAGCACCAGTGTTAACCATCTAGTTTCACTGGGTGAAGACCCTCCATGGCTGTAATGCACTGCAGTCAGCAGAGCTGGAACAATTTACACCAGTGCTCTCCAGAGCACCCATCAGGAGTTTTGTCTGGTGCGATGCAACTACTGACTCACGGAACACCCACTACTCTTACAGCACTTGCACCTGATTTGGAAGGGGAGTGACAGATAGCAACCCCTCTGCTGCAAATCTACCAGATGAACCCTACAAACACAGAGCACACAGTCATAGACTTGTAGAATGGTTTGGGTTGGAAGGGACCTCAAAGATCATCTAATTCCCATCCCTCTGCCACAGGCAGGGACACCTTCCACTACACCAGGTTGCTCAAAGCCTCATCCAACCTGGCCTTGAACACTTCCAGGGATGAGGCATCCACAACTTCTCTGGGCAACCTGTTCCAGTGCCTCATCACCCTCTTCCTTATATCAAATCGAAATCTCCTCTCTTTCAGTTTAAATCCATTACCCCTTGTCCTATCACTACATTCTCTTGGTAAAAAGTCCCTCTCCAGCTTTCTTGTAGGCCCCCCTTTGCTCGCTAATGAGTCAGGTCCACCTCTAGCCTTGAGCTGAATGTTGCATGGAGAAGCCAGTTTGGAAAGCATGCGTGGCTGGTAAAGAAGGATTCTCCTTTCAGTAACTTCTTGTTGCTAAATTTAACCTTAAATATGCCAGAACAATTTGACTCCGATTTACTATGTTCTGAGAACATTATTTAATTAAAATGGTGTGTACTTATTACACTGACGCATTGTTTGTGTCTTTACAAAATAAACGCACTTTGCAGTCAGCACGTCCTCGTCACTCCTGTATCCAGAGAACTAATAGCAAAGGAAGAAGCAAAGCTGAAAAACTACTCCAGCAAAAAAACACAACATGGGAAATGCAGGCAACAAGCAGAGACCAGGGCAGGCTGAGCCACCCTCTAGGACTGCCCTACATACCAGACAAGATGACAAGCTGACGGCATCCACACCTGCACCCAGTGCATGCAGTCAAATATAGTGCCCAAGCCAGGATGATCTGCAGCAGTAAGCACCATGCTGAAGTGTCCCCTGCCTTCATCAGCTGGGGAGGGTAATTTGAAGATTTCATTTAGGTCCTTAACTGTTTCATTTTTCCAGCTCCTCCTTTCTAAGAGGGCTAAGCTGCACACAGGCATACCTGCACAGTTACTCAAGCATCCTCACAGAAAATATTTTCCAGAAAGCGGCTATAAAAGCTTCTCCACAACATTTTTTCCAACAAAGAGGTTAAGAAACAACCGACCCCTTCAGTAACACTGCAGGAGGCTCCACCAAAGGTTGCAGCAAATTCTTCCACCTATTGACTGAAGCAGTCCCCTGATTTCAACACTTTCTTTTCTTTCCCCTTTTATAGTAATATGAATATGAAAATACAGTCCCAGAAAAAAAGCGAACCGTAGAATAAATGAAACAGCTGCCTCAAAAGCAAAGTGCATCAGAGGTGACACACTCAAGGCTGTTTCCCCATAAAAGCTCCATGAAGCCAGCTTTGTGTATTAGCCTGCTAGCTCAACCTTGACATGCTACCAAGGTGCTCGGAAAAATAACCTCCCTCAGGAAAAAAACCCACAAACAACACAACTAAATATATATGTAAGTACAAATGCCCACTTCAGGGTCACTTGATTAAAACGAATTTTAAAATATATGCTGTTTTCAAAGCACTTCTCTAAACAGTCCTTTCTGTTCTCTCTTCCACCCATTATTAGATTATAGCAGCCAGAGCTTGGATAAGAGGAAAATTGGTTTGCTCCTGACCTAAGCAGCAAGTTACCTCCATCACAGCGTTGCTCACCCTAACACAAAGATGGCTTCACCCCTGGAAAAACCTTGTGTGTCAAATCAGCTTTTTGAGACCCCTTCTCTGAAGCAGAGAGACACTAAAATAGCTTCGCATAATGGATCAGATCCCAAACTTAACAGGTCTCGAGGGTCATCTTCATTTTTATAGTGGAAGTGAGCTTTAAAGACAAAGGGGAGAGGGAAGAGAAGAGAAAAGCAGCTTGAGGGAGTTCCTCTTTTAGTGTTTCGTGTATAAAAGCTGCTTTGCAGAATAGAAAAACACTGATTTCAAATCTAGTTTCTCTGCCCACTAAATCATCTATAAGTGATGCCTACCAGAAATTGCAGGGTTATAACCTGTCACATTCATGACGCTAAGCGGGACTCTGACTCCACTCGGAAATGAAGCGGAAATGCTCATGAAAGTAGTAACAAGCACAAAGGTTACTCGAACACGTCCCTTCGCAACAGCAGAAACTCAGCGCAGGCAGATCCTGCGTGCGTGCACGCGCTTCTGAGCATGCGACAGAAAGGTTTGGTGCTATACTATCTATTCTTCTTACACTTCTTGCCCTCCTGTGTTTCAGGACCAATCTTAAGTGACAGGTTTATATTCTCAGATCTGAAGTTCATCTCAGTAGGCCTCTGGGATGAGTACTGCAGGAAAAGCAGCGTACTATAGGGCCGGCAGGGTGCCTGCCTTAAGGATCAACTTAACTGCATCTTCTCCTGGGTCTCTTTATCTGGTTCTCATACAAAAGGCATGCTCACCTGTAGAGATAGCAACGTGCAGTGCAGGAAATCATCCAGATACAAGAGCATGCAGTGAGGGGAGGATTCAAGAAACCATGGGAACCTGCAAATTTTAAAGTAACTTTGGGCCGTAACTTAGGAGTATAGCAGCAATACCTGCACGACACTCTAATTCTTTTATTTGCTTATGAAAATGAATGACTAGAATTAAGTACAATAACATTAATTTCAGGCCCACTCAGGATCACACCCTCTGTGGGCGGTTATTCAACAATACGACCAGCTTTCTGGTGGTCAGTTCCAACTGCAGCAGTACCAGCTACGGGTAACACTTGTACAAAGCAAAGAAACACAAGATAAGGAATTTAGAGGAGAATGAATAAAGAAATGGAAGAATAAGACAGGTCTGAAAGAATAAGAACAGGTCTGGGGAAACAAAAAAAGAGAGTGAAAAGGAATGGCAACAAGGTGGGTTGGGAAGGAGAGGAAAAGAGAGAAAGAACACAAAAAAGGAAAGACAATACAAATATAGCAATTCCAGAAAAGTCATCTCAGACTCAAGGCATCTCTGCCCTGACTGCTTTTAGACTCCTTAAGGAGAGCTAAGATAGCACATCCATCCTGTGATGGGGGTGACTCTTCCTGCTAGAACTGGGAATTTTTAGTAACTCTTTTTTTTTTTCCTCTTTTGTGTATTTCTCCTTCAATGTCATAGGAAGATACAGAGTAGGAAAAAGAACTACAAGTGGAAGTTTATCATTATCAAGGATACGAGGATTTGTACATAGACATAAAGACACTGAATATGGGATAGAGGCTCTGTTTTAATGAGGATGTTGATAGAAAAAGAGGATAGATTTGTATTTGAGTTCAATTTCTACAAACAAACATAAAAGAAACACAAACAGCACAATACTTGCACATTATTAATACTTTTCTCAGTGCCTGAAGACAGCCTAAACCATGCAAACCACTGAAGTATCTCATTAATTAAATGACTTTAATCAGGTGGGTTTTGTACACTGGGGGTTAACACTTCGCTGTTGAACTTTCCAAATTCATGTTTCTGCAGGAACCAGGAGGTCAGCAGAATTGCTGAAGGAAACCCTATTAAAATCAAAAGCGTCTGGGAAAAGAAGATGCAAATATATCCTGAATATGCCATTAAAAGAGAAAGAATTTAAAAAATCAATAAATGAGCACAGAATTTGGAAAAGCTCTAGAAATGGGTGGCATAAGGTCAGAGGTCCACCCACCCAGCACAACAATGGGTGTAATTTTAACCT